TAACAACTCAAAATTGGTAAAGTAAGAGAGTAAGGAAGATCAGTGTGGAAAGAATTAGAGGGGAAAAAAAAACATTCAAAAGATAAGTGAAAAGGAGGGTTGATTTTTTTTTTTTGAAAAAAGATAAAATTCACCAATCTTTAGGTAGAATAACTAAGAAAGAAGAATCAAATAAGTAAAATTAGAGATTAAAAAAGGAGACATGACAACTGACACCACAGACACAGAAAGGATCATGAGACCATAATTATCCAAGAATTATACACAAACAAACCCGGTAACCTAGAAGAAATGGATAAGTTTCTAGAAAAATGCAATCAACCACGACTGCCTTGTAAAGAAATAGAAAATCCAAATAAGTCAATAACAAACAAAAACATCTAATCAGTAATAAAAAGTGCCCCACCAAAGACTTGATGGCTTCACTGCCGAACATTTAAGGAGTCAATACCACTTCTTCTCAATGTATCCCAGAAAGTGAGACTGACCATTACCCTGCTATGAAAACCAGACAAAAGATGCAGGGGAAAAAAATCTACAGACCCAAATCCCTGATGAACACAGATTCAAAAATCCTGAAAATACTGTCAAACCAAATTCAATACCATGGCAAAAAGACATCAACCCACCATGACCAATCAATACAAATCAATAAATACGATGCATCACGCACGTTAAGAACGAAGGACAAAAAACACTTCTATAGATGTAGAAAAAGTATTCTACAAAATTCAACATCCCTTCATGATAAAAACTCTCAACACATCATGGATAGAAGGAATGTATCGCCAAATAATAAAGGTCATTTTTGATAAATGTTTAACATCATACGGAAAAGAGGAAGTGAAAAGCTTACCCCTAAGGTCTGGAACAAGGCAAGGATGTCCACTCCCAACACTTCTACTCAACATTATACTGGTATTCTCTGTTTTATTGCACATCACAGATAGTGCATCCTTTACAAATTAAAGCTTTGTGACAATCTTGCCTTAAGCAAGTCTATTGACACCATTTTCTCAACAGCAGAGATGCTAATTAGCAATTCTTTTAGAATAGAATATTTTTATTTTTTGTTCATTTTAGATATACAGGATAGTATAATATATTTTAACATATTATATATACATGGTAGAATATTTTAAAATAAGGTATGCACATTGTTTTAGGCATCATGTTATTATTGTACCATAATAGCATGCAAACATCATTTTTATATGTACTAGGAAACCAAAAGACTCATGTGACTCATTGTGATGTTTATTTTATTGCTGTGGTTTGGAATCAAACCCGTAATATTTTTGAAGTGTGTTTGTTCTAGATGTCCTAGTTAAATAAACTAAGCCAGAGAAAAAATTCTGAGTTGGAAAGGAAAAACTTATATTATCCCTGTTTGAAGATGTCATGATCTTACATTTAGAAAATCCTAAAGACTTCCCTGGAAAACTGTTAGACATAATTCGTCAAGCAAATAGCAGGGTACAAAATTAGTACACAAAATCCTGAGTCATTTCTGTACACCAATTTTGAAATATCTGAAAAAGAAGTCAAGAAAACAATTCCACTTACAGTGGATTCAAAATATAAATGTTTAACTAAGGAGGTAAAAGATCTGTATGCTGAGAACTGCAAAATGTTAATAACTTGAAAAAGACAAAATAAATGAAAATACCACAAAAAGGCTAGGGATGTGGCTCAATGGTAGAGTGCCCCCTGAGTTCAATCCCTGGTACCCCCGGCTCTTGCCCCACAAAAGGCCAAAATACATTCTTTACAGAAACATAAAAGTTCCAAAATTTTCAAAATCTTGAAAATATTCTTTTGCAGATAAGGGATGAAGGCTTACTGCATACAATAAAGTTATCTTCAGATAAAGATCTTTCCTAAAGTTTATTTCCTGTATTTCCATTAACATATTTAACACAAATATTTAACACAAAAACATTTAAAAATGTTAATAGCAAGTATCATGCTTTAGATATAAGGTGTACTCTGTCTAAACCATGTGTGAGATAATGCAAGAAATGATTAAGAGAGTTGTGCTCTACTCAGTGGATTAATCCATTGATATGGGTTAACAGGGTGGTAACTGTAGTATGTAGGGTGTGGCTGGAGGAAGTAGGTAAGGGGGGGGTGGTGGGAGTGGGGGGTGATGTGCCTTTGGGGTTTATATTTTGCTCCTGTTGAGCAGAGCTCTCTCTCTTCCTGTTTGCCCTGTTCTGAGCTGCTTTCCTCCACCACGCCTTTACGCCTTTACGCCATGGTGTTCCGCCTCATCTCAGGCCCGGAGCAGTGGAGTTGGCCAAGGACAGAACCTCAAAAGCCATGAGCTCAAATTTCCTCCTGCCCGGGTCCTGCCCCAGCAAGATCCAGGGAGTCCTGAAGGAAGAGTGGTGTCGGTGAAAGCAGCAAGACAAAACCCTGTAGTGGGTGGTGGTTGCAACTTCAGGCAGTCTTCAGAAAGATCTGCTGCTCCCTGCAGAGCCTTTTATTCTTAAATACACTTTTTCAGATGGCCACAAGTGGCCTTATGGCCTGATTTTCCCGACTTACATATTTTCCTTGGGAGTTACACAACCTTTTAGCATGCCTCCTACTTTTACATGGAACCTAGACCACGCTTCTACTTTTGCTTTTCCTTTTGATCTTTTACTAACTTTGAGCTGTTGCTTTGTTCCTTGGTCAAGGTACACCAATTCTTGAACCTTTGTAACCTCTGACTAAAGGGCCGATCTGTGCGTCAGTCCCTTCTCCATTTACATTAACTACTTGTCTTCCATTTTCTTCATAGATCCCGGTAAATGGCGCGGGAGGATCTGTCGGTCAGGAGAAGGCATTCTTATGAGCTTCCCTGTCCCTAGGAGGGGACCACAGTCTTCCTTTAATTAAATAAGCTATAACTGGCGGCCTCGCACTGTGGGCACAACAATTCTTTCCCTGTGATTAGGCTTACGCACAGGTTGCACTTTTGGATGAGGAGACCTAGCAGGAAATGTCAACTGCCGAGCAAAGAGTTCTGTAATCTAAGCCTTTCCCACAAATCCTGGTCTGGAACTATGTGTTTGTGTTTACTTGTATTCTTGGTAATGTTAGTCTTAAAACGCATCTCAGGACCTTTTTTTTTGTCATGTTCTTAGTCTCATTCTGCGAAAGCTCCCGTCCATTGTAACAACCTCTGTTTTTAGTTTGGATTGACATGCTTCCTGTTAACCACAGTAGTATTCCCAGGATCAGGGCAGCCATGGCACCCCTTGGTTTTGGTTTCCAGGTGTGTCAGCCCTGCCACGACACCTCCCACGGTGACCTGGTCAGACATCAGGGGCAGGAACACCTCACCATCCTCCTCTAGTCAGGGTTTTGTGGTCACGGTGGCTCCAAGCTGACGAAAACACCAAGTATCTTCAGCTTGTTCACAACATCAGAGGGCAGGCCATAGTAATTCTATTAATTATGGTGAATGTTGGACACGTTTTCTTTTCATTAGCTTAAGAAATTACAAATCGATTCCTATTCTATTTGTGTTTTCTGTAGGTATGTTTTGTAAATCAGTCACCTGTGTTGAATTTAGTCAGATGGTGTGATCCAGACTGCAGACACCTCTTGTATCCTACCTATTTCATCAGTGCTGCAGCATCTGGAAGGATTTCTTTCCTTACCGTCCATGTTTTGCCATCAGTGTTTGCTGGCCTCATGCAACATGTAGGATTGAAGTTACATCTTCATCAGCGTTTGCTGGATTTTATTGAGGAAGCTATCCAAGACCTGGAACTCTTTTTTTTTTTTTTTAAACAAAGTTACTTTCAATTATGATTATGATTTTTTTTTTAAGAAGCTGCAGTTCTATGTAGATATTAAGTCAGATAGTAAGTTCTTCTTAAGTCAGTTTTGAAAAAGGGTCTTTCTACAAAAACATTTCTATTTCATCTAAAAATTTAACATTCTTATTTGTAGTGACTCTGTGTGTCATTTCATTCCAGATACTGCTACTATCTGTCTTCAAAATTTTTCTCCACCTTGAACATGTTCTAAAGAGGTTTTTGAATTTGTTTGGTTTTCCCAAATAAATAAGATTGAACTTCTTTATTCTCAATATTGTAGATATCTACTAATTTTTTGTTTCTCAATTATTTTCTAATTTCAATCACTTTTCAAAATCTAATATGCTTTCCCATTAACATCTTCAAGTGGCTTAGATTTCCTCTAAGCAAAAGCTAGCTAGCTAGCTAGCTAAACAGCAAATTTCTTTTTTCTATAAAATTTTTATAGAATACGGTTCAAAGTATGTTTAAAGTTCCATTGAATGTACTTGTTGACCTATGGATTATTTAGAATTATATTGCTTATTTCAAATACTTGAAGATTATTGCATTTTATAATATGTTTATCTTACATTTAGAGAACATAATCTGAAATATTTCAGTCCTGAGAAATTAAGACTTGTTTTATTTCCCAGCACACCAATAAATGATTCATATGTGTATTGTATATATTTTGCAGTGTGGCCAAGCCCGGTCTATATATCAAGCAGACCATTTCTGTTTAATTATGCTTAAATCCCTCACTAAATTGGATAATTTATTTTCTTTTTCTTTTGGTCTTGTCAATCCTCATTTCACATATGTTGAAGTTATATGAAAGTCATAGAGACTGGGGATGTAGTTCAGGGTGGAATTAGGCCCTGGTCTCAAACCTGGCACTGCTTTTTAAAAAGTATTAAATTATCATAATTTTTATTATTACACCTTCCTCTCAGATTGATCTTTTGCATTAGGATACATTCTCCTTATATCACTGTGAATTCTATCAAAGTCTATCAACTTTCTTTTGTATAAAGTTCCTGTGGTATAAATTCTACCATCCTTTACTTTGAACCTTTATATATCTGAAAATGTGTCTTTTGTAGGCAGTATAAAGATGAGAGTTTTTTCCAAATCTTAGGATCATTGCCTTTTTGTATTGGTCATAAATTGGCAGAGTGTAATATAACAACACACTCAGTGCGATTTATAACATAGAAGTGGTCTTTAATAATGGCATCACATTTATTATGTTATAACCTTTCCTGTAACATACCTTTTGGCTAACAGAAGTAATGTGAGATAACTTATAATTAGGAAAATAATATAAAATCCATAATCATTCATTTCTTGCAAATGAATTGTCTGTGGAATTGTACATATTTACAGTCAATGTGAAAACGCTTCTGTTCAGATGAAAATCATAATATGCAGGTTTTGAGTTTGAAGAAATCAGGTGATGCCTGTTTTTTTCTTTTTCATTTCCCTCCCCTTGTTCAATGAAGATAATTGCTCTGAAAGAATGAGTAAAGAATAAAAAGTCACTTGTTTGGCCAAGGAAATTAATGATGCCGGATGTAGCTAAGAGCAGAAGAGTACTCTTATCAGGAAGTAGACTTCAAACATACCCTTTAATCAACATTTGCAATCCACAGAAGCTAAAGGAATAACCTAATTTAAAAATTAAAAATATAATTCTGCAAGAAATTTTAAATAACTTGCAAATATCATTTATAACATTATCATATCAATGATGTAATTTAAAGTATCAAAAACTATTCTTCAGTTTAGTTATATTGCATGCAGCTATACAACTATTGCTATTTAATATATATTTTATTAAACATATTTATCTAATACATTTTTCTCTCTCTCTCCCTTGAAGTATCTGAAACTTACTGTGATATCATGATATCCTTGTTGTCCGAACTACTCTTTGGATTCAGTCTCGCTTTCAAGCTGCCTATGTATTTAAAAAGGAAAACAAAAATCCCTTAAAATTTTATTTTATTTTATTTTCTTCAAAACTCTATCTTGAAACAGTTTTGAATTCCTACCTGCTGGCTGGGTTTCCAACACTCCTCACCTGGTAATCAATGAAACTAGCAATGAAACTCTCTCCCCACCCACATAAAAGAAAAGGATCAGTGATATAAGGTTATTTGAAAATAAACTCAAGATTTTTTTATATTCATATTATTATTAGCTAAATAAGCTAATAATAATAAGCTTTATTTTTTTTTCACCATGCATCCTTAGCCCTATTTATTTCTATCAAATTTATTAGCTTATAATTTCTTCAGTTATTTGACATTAATATTTTCACAATAGTTACCCCAAGTAAAAATATCTTTGATATATTTAGATAACTGCATTATAACTAGCTACATGTTCTTTCTGCAATGTCAACATATTTCCATGAAGTATATTCTATTTATTTCATTGTATTAATTTAATTAAATTGTTTATGAAATTCAATTCGGATAAATTTAACTACATCTCAATTTATGTACAAAAAAAAGCTAAAAGTGCAAACAGGGACTGTCCTGGTCTTCCTTATTACCATTTATCAAAATAAAATATAAAAATTCTTTGAAATATACAAATACTAAAAAGTAAAGTATTGCTGTTTACTATATATTTAATAATTAAGATCAAAATGATAAAAGGAGGTAGATAAACTAATTAGAAATCATTTCCTTTTAATTTTGCCCCTAAAAGAGTTCAAGCTTTTGTAAGATTAAAATTGCCGGCCTTTTTAAAATCATTGTTGATTCTTTATTACATTAATCATGAATAGATTAAGTACTATCCTTCCTTGTAAAGACAAGTTAAACCTTAATTATTACTAATCCATCTATCATGATGTGATTAATAAGATATTATGCTAATGAATAATCTAAGTAGCAAAGCAAATATGAAATAACATACTCATCACTTGTATAGTCTTCAGATTTCCATTTTTTCCTTTGGAAATGAACTTTTACCAGCATACCAATTAGTACACAGAGAATCACGAAGAAAGGAATAACTAAGAAAAATGGCCATCTTGAAGTTCTGGACTCGTAATAAGTACGCTCAATGAAGCGCCTTTCTAGGAGAGAAGAGCACAGTTAGAAGGCAATCGCCAGAAACAGAGTAAGAGTACTTCTGTATTTTACTATGACTACTAGAATAAAAATTTAAACTACTTAATAATTACAATTAGCATTTTTTATATGGAGTAAGTAACCTAACAACATAAGTAGAAGCTCTTTTGATGCTCACATAATAGTCCTGTTTCTTGCTTTTTTTAATTGAGAACCTTTGATTCTTGGTAGTCTCTAATACCATAGATAAAAGAATTAACGTGTGGTCCCTAGAAGAGTTGAATTTTTTCTTGGGCTTTTTATTTTCTAACAAAAAATACTGCACATATAACATTTGGATTAAGTTAAATTGTCTTTTATTGACTGATATATATTTTCATGTCTTATATAGGAAATTATCATTTATTTTGATTTTGAAGGAATTCTCATACCTCCTTCTAGAATCATCTACACATAAATCTGCACATAAATGAATTCATCTTTCCTAATCTTTCTGTTCCTTCTTGCTTATAGGCTAGGACCTAAGGTAAAATATTGAGTAGACATGGTAAATGCTAACTTTACTGCTTTGCTCCCAATTTTATGGGAAAACTGCAGAATGCAAGTTTTTTTGTTGTTGATGTTCTTTTATCAGATTGAAGAGGTTGTCTTCTGTTGGTTTGCTCTCTTTTGAAGGGATACTTTTCTTTTTTGTGCACTAGAGATAGAGCTAATTTGATGCTTTTTAAAAGAGTCAATATTTTTTAAAAAATATATTTTTAGTTATATATGGACACAATACTGTTATTTGTTTTTATTTTTATGTGGTGCCAAGGATCAAACCCAGTGCCTCACACATGCTAGGCAAGTGTTCTACCACTGAGCCACAACCCCAGCCCCAAAAGATTCAATCTTGTCAATGATTTTTTTTTTTTTGCACCAAACTAGACAACTGTATTTTTTATTGTTTTGATATGGTGAATGATAAATGTGAGTCATTCCCAGAAAACACTTAGAATGCCTTTTGTTTAGGTAAAGGGACTTGTACCAGATGTCAACATAAGTTTTTCTGAAGTTTTAACAGAGAGGATTATAGTCAAATGCTTGACATTTTTTTTAAATCTGAGATAAAATTTTATTTTGCAAAAATCTCAAATTTGGCCTTTAGCCATTTCTTTTCTTAAATATATTTTTTAGTTGTAGTTGGACATAATATCTTTATTTATTTTTATGTGGTGCTGAGGATCAAACCCAGTGCCTCACACGTGCAAGGCAGGCGCTGTACCAATGAGCTACAGCCCCAGTTCTAGCCATTTATTTCTTTAAAAAGTTTTTGATTGAAAAGACCTGGAATGAAATTTAATTTTATTTTTAATCCCGTTCCCTTAAAAAATCCAGATTCTTAATATTTGCTCTGCATTTTACTTCTCATCAATAGGAAGGCTGGATTCTGTTTTCTCCATCAGCACAAGCAGCAGTGATGACACATAATTCATCACTTTATAATAATGTGTCACTTCTTCCAACTTCTAACGAAGGCCATGTGTGTTGGGTTCTTGTGACAGAAATATACTACACCGGTTATTAATTCTTTCTGCTAGATATTGCTGTATAAGAAACTACCTCGAAGCTTGATTACTTATAGCAGCCATTTAATTTTTCTCACAATTTCGTGGGTTATGAATTCAGGGGGTGCTTAGTTGAGTGGTTATATTTTTGTGTCTCAGTGCCGTTCAAGTTCATACAGTGCAGATGATTTTCAAAAGAATAAGTGTGTCTGGAATGAGAGTTCCAAGACTGAATATTTTTAAAAATTCAGAATCTGCAGGAAGACCATGGGAGACCCAGAATGTCAGTTCTGCGGACTGGATTGATGAGTAATGCCACTAACACCACCCTGGATTCTAGGAAAGTAATCTTCACTGCATATTGGGTAAATGGCTTGTGTGCTCATAAGCAGAAGCCAGTAATTGCAACTAATTGTTACTAAGATGGAAAAAGCTTCCTGTTTCCAATTTGTCAGCCTATTCCTATGCCGAATGAAATGTAGAAATGTTAACAACAAAAGTCAGGAAGAATCGGGTCTAATCATCTGGAAATTTAAGTGTTTATATCAAGTAAATCAAGTCTCCTGACCCTCGGTGCTATTGGATATGTTGGTCTCTGCTGGCCTTCTCTAAAATCCATCCTGGTAGTGCCTCTGCTTTGATCAACACTGCAGAGGACTGCATTTCCCAAGCCCCCTGACCTGCTGTCTTCTAGTTAGGACTGTCCAGTGGGGATCACTGGATGATTTATAGGATCAAAAGAGAATGAGGCAACCATGGTATTTCTCCTCCTTCCTCCCTGTGTCTCCTGTAACCTCTGAAGGCCCAGTCCTCCCATCCAGCCCTGACATCACAGGCCTGCTGCAGCTTCGTGGCTGCTTCTGGCAATTTCATTCCCACTGACTGTCCTTCCTGCCCCAAGGAGTGGACGTGGCTCTCTGGTGGTGTTGACACCTGGGTGGCTCCACCCTTCTCTGGGTCAGCTTTTCATCTTTGCCATTGTGTCACCTTAGGCCTCAAGTTAAAGTCCCTCCACTGGAAAACCACAGTGACTCCTCTGACACCCTCAGAAGTAAAATGTAAATGACATATGTGTTTTATTGTTTGATGTCCACTCACAACCTAGATATAAACTGGTGTACCAAAGATGGCTGTTCACTTAACTAAACTTCATGAATTAAAATGACACTTGAATTACGTTTGCAGTTTCTCATTCATACTCACCAGTGGCAGCAGCAGTATTTTCATGATTGCCACTGTCAATACTCCCCCCTCCTGAGCCTTCCCTTTCTTCTTGGCATTTAGGAGGTACAAAATCGGCATTACAGTGACAGTTTCTTTTGTTATTGCATACCTGAAAGTAGGAAAATATTACCTAATAAGAAAAGCAGCCAGATTTTTATATGTGTTTAATTAACTAGGTTCATAAAAGGTCACCTCAGGCTGATTTTCCTGTTGGCTTATGGGTATCTGAGTGTGTGTGTGTGTGTGTGTGTGTGTGTGTAGGAGCATTTGCTTTCTTGGGATAGTATAAATGATTTCTAGTCTTACCTCATAGCATTGGTACTGGTACTTACACCTTGATTGTTGCAAGTTTCTGGTGTGCAGTCATAATTCAGGTATGAATTGTCTACACATTCCTTCTCCTTGCACACCTAAAGTGGAAAGTCAAACAGGTGATATGCCACCTGGATTTACCATTTAATCTAAAGCACTCCACTATACTGAGATTAGAGACTTCCACAAAATATCACCCCACCTCAGTTTGAAAAGATAAAAAGTAACAAATACTGGCAAGGATGTGAAGAAAATATGAATAGCAGATACATGACATTTTTGCTCTTCCTCACTCATGTAGCCTAGAAATAATTTACAACTAAAGATAGTTTTGGGTTTTAATTCTGTAAGTGTTTTTGCAAAGTAAATTCCATGAAAGCAAAGGTAGTACAAAGTCTTAAAGATGATCTAGTTTTTGTGCAAGCACTTGGTGTTACAATTTTTTCTTTTGTATACTTTTTCTCCTTTCCAATTTTCTGAGCAAATATTTAGCAAAGTTAGGTTGTAATAGAACTATTTGTATGGAATATATTTCCTTAACTAAATAAAAAAAGATCTATTTTAAATATGTATACATTCATAATGACAATTAATACGTGAAAAAATTCTTAGATTTCACTTATACTTGCTGACAACCAAAATGTGGAAAGTCGTTTCTTTTTCTTAATGTTTACTCACAAAAAATATCTTTCAGCTCCCAAGTATATTTTGGCTTTCCCTCTTTTCTTCAACAAGTGGTTTACTATATTCTGGCTTTATGATTTCAAGTTTGCACATGAGACTAATTTGAACTTGAACCATCTTCTGTACCTATGTGTATGCATACAGGTATTCAATATTTCACAAAATGGGAAAATCTTGGAAGACAAGAAATGTTGACACAGAGCTCATGTGTCTGATAATGTTGAGTGATAAAATATCAAAAGCAGATAAAACAATGGAATATTTTATGAAAATTTAAAGATATACTAGAGAAATAGTCTATATCTCTATATATGTATGTAGAAATGGAGGAAGGCTCATGAAAATGGAAAGCATGATTGTATTTCAGATATGTAACTTGTTTGCTTTATGAATTCTTTATTTTCATTATCTTAATGGGCATATATTATTTAAACAACTATTTAAAATCAATGATATCACAAGAGTATTTATGACATTTGAAGTACTCTGTATAATATGAGATAATTTGGGGCTGGGGTTGTGGCTCAGTGGTAGAGCACTTGCCTAGCTTGCGTGAGGTACTGGGTTCGATCCTTAGCACCACATTAAAAAAAAAAACTAAATAAAAGTATTGTGTCCATCTACAACTAAAAATTTTTTAAAAACATGAGATAATTTAATACAGTGAATGAACAGTGTGATTCTTAATTCAGTGCATATGTGCAGCATCCGTAAGAAAAGTATAAAATCATTGGTGAAATATTATAGTAATATCATCTATGCATGGTGACTGATTGCAGTATTTTTTTTCTTATTTTCTAAATTTCTATTTTGATTGCACACTTAAATTCTGAGGAAAAATACTAAGTTTATTATGTAATTAAAAATATTAGGAAGTTAGGAAGAAAAGAACACCAACCTTTTTTGTACCACAAACAGTTCCATCTTTTACCCACATGTTCTTTATTTCTGCATGACCCTTGTTATATTCCAAAGAAACACAGATGTCTCCAGTTATGTTGGCATAAATGGCAGTGGCATCTTTCAATTGAAGGATATGACTACCTCCATATTTACATATTAATTTTCCACATTTCCGATCCCTAGAATTTATCCACAAATGAAAAACATTAATTTTAATAGAGAAATATTTGAATGTCATTTCCAAAGTGAATAGATTTAAATAAAAATTCAAGATCTGCAAAAGGATGCAGGCAACAATTAATTTTGAAAGCCCCCCCCCAAAAAAAAACACTAAAAACATGAATTCATTTTAATAATACGGAATAAGAAGCATTTGAAAAAACAAAACCTCCATGCAAAACTGAAAGTTTTCAATAAGCCAGGACTAGAAGGAAACTTCCTCAACCGAATAAGGAATGAAGGAAGAGTATCTGTAAAATCTCTGTAGCTAACGATAAACTTAAGAGTGAAAGGCTGAATATTTCTGCAGAAAATCAGGAAGGAGCAAGCATATTCTCTTTATCCACTTAAAAGTGAACATTTTAATGGAGATCTAGAAGTGCAATCAAGTTAGAAAGAAACTGAAGGCATAGCTATTGGAAAATAACATGTACTTAGAAACTGACTTGCATATGACATGATACTAGACATAAAGACTAAGAAACTCACACACAGAAGAAAAATGTTCAGGAAGGTCACACAATGCCAAAGATCAAGATTAATATAAAGGAGCCAAAGAAAGTCTAGTGGAGTGGAAGGAAAAGGGGAAAGGAGATGGAGGAAGGGAAGGGGGAACCAGAGGGAAAAGGTGGGAGCAAGGGGGAGGGGAAAAGGAGGAGGGAAAAGGGGGGATCTTGAACTGAAATCAGTTTCCATGCCTGGGTGAGTTTGTTGGGATGAACTCAAATACTATATATAATCATAAAGCTCTGATAAAAAAAGATCAATATAAAACATCATTTGTTGGATAAAGGGACAGAATGGGTACTCACTGAAGAAGAAATACAAATGGTCAACAGATATATGAAAAGATGTTGAACATCTCTAGCAATGAGAGAAAGGCAAATTATAACCATACTGAGATCCCATTTCACTCCACTCAGAATGGCAATTATCAAGAATACAAGTAACAATAAATGTTGGCAAGGAAGTGGGGGAAAAGGCACACTTATACATTGCTGGTGGGACTGAAAATTGGTGCAACCACTCTGGAAAGCAGTGTGGAGATTCCTCAGAAGTCTAGGAATGGAGCCATCATTTGACCCAGTTATCTCACTCCTTGGTGTATACCCAAAGGACTTAAAATCAGCCTGCTACAGTGACGTGGCCACTTCAATGTTCATAGCAGCTTAATTCACAATAGCTAAACTACGGAACCAATCTAGGTGCCCTTCAACAGATGAATGGATAAAGAAAATGGGGAATATGTACACAGTGTAATAATAGCCATAAAGAAGAATTAAAATTATGGCATTTGTTGGTAAATGGATGGAACTGGAGACTGTCATGCTAAGTCAAATAAACCAGTCCCCCAAAACCAAAGGCTGAATATTCTCTCTGATGTGTGGATGCCAAACCATAACAAGGGAGGGGACGTACAGAAGTTCTTCATTGGATTAGACAAAGGGGAATGGAGGGGAGGTGTGGGGGAGGGAAATGGGAAAGACAGTAGAATAAATGGGACATCACTTTCCTATGTTCCTATATGAACACACGACCAGTGCAACTCTGCATCATGTACAATTGCAAGAATGGGATCCTAATTAGAATAAGTTATACTCCATGTATGTATAACATGTCAAAATATACTCTAATGTATATCTAAAAAGAACAAATAAAAAAGTTTAAAAAGTAATAAAAACCATCATTTATAATTTTGTTTTGATAATTACAGATCAGCAACAATGTGAAAATTAAATTTAGAAAACTATTGTGTTCATGATAGCCTTGAAAACACAGTATTTAGGGATGTATTTAGCAAAAGGAAGAGGCCCCTTGCACACAGATTCTAGTAAACTAGCAGAAAAAAAATCAAAGACTAAAATAAACTAAGAGACATTCTAAATTCATTACTGGGAAAATTCAACAGTCCTAAGATGATGATCAATGGACATTTCCTCATCCCTCACTATGAATTTCTGTAAAACAGATGAAACCTGAATAAAGGGCATGAATTTGCCAATGTTCAATTTCCTGATTTTGATCTTGTACTGCACATTTTTATGTCATGGCAGATGTTGCCTCGTGGAAGCGAGCTGAAAGTCACAGGGATCCTCTCCATCACCCCTGCCGTGATTTCTACAACTGTGAACCTACAGTTACTTAAGAATAGAAAGATGCAAAGTAATGGCATGAAGTCCAAACCTGTGATACCAATTTCATGAGGATAAAACACTTAGTGGTGTGCATGTGCTCAACAGGAAAATCAGATTCTTTAAAGAGCCATGTAAAGAAGGGAAGGAACAGTATTATCAGTCCCAGTGCAGTTAGGGACAAAAAAGGTAGGGTTCAAAGTTTTCTTTTGTGAAGCACATAGATAATATGTTGCAGGATGGAATCTAGAAGTGTGTACATTTTAGATAGAAAGCTAGACTTTACACAATTAAAAATGGGAAGCAATGGCTCTCTTTAAATACATCAGTTGAATTTATTTCAGCTGCCAAAAATTTGCTAAGCATTGCGAATAGCATCTGTTTCAAAAGAGTTATTTTAAAATGAAAATCTTGAGGATTAAAGTTACATTAAGGAATTAAAATATCTTTTGACATACTAGGGATGTCTATATATGTATATACAAATGATATGTATCATTTAGGGTATTATGTTCTAGGGATTGATGTGAGCACCTGCTTGGAGTACATGCTATGCCATTTCATTTTGGTTTGGCCCTTGTATTCTGTTTGGCATCAAGCCACCCAGGTTGTCTTTTCTTTTTTTTAAAAAAAACACATTTTTAGTTACAGTTGGACACAATATCTTTATTTTAGTTATTTGCTTACTTAATGTGGTGCTGAGAATCAAACCCAGAGCCTCAGACATGCCAGGCAAGCGCTCTACCACTGAGCCGCAGCCCCAGTCCCCAAGTTGTCTTAATGATCCCCTAATCTGGGCTGGGGAAGTAGCTCAGTGGTGGAGTGCTTGACTAGGTTACATGAGTCCCTGGGCTCAATCCCCAGCACCACAAAAATAAATGAGTGAATAAGTAAAGAAATATAGATAAGATGACCTCCCAATCAGCAGCAGTTCAGCCATCCTGGAAACCGGGATATCTCAGAGCAATTTGCTGTGACCTGAATTTTTTGTCTTTGGCCCATGGAGGGAAGGGACAATGATCAAAGCAGCCCCTAGTTTTCAGGCAAAGGCCAGATGTTATCAGCAGGACCTGAGAGCACACAAAAGCTGTCCTGCACTGCTGGTGTCCCCTGCTGAACACCAACGTTAAGCAAAGTCACCCTGTGACCATGGAAAATCAAGAAAGACAAGCATCCTCCACAGGTCATGTCTGAACACACAGAGAGGAGATGCAGACAAGAGGCATACGATCATGGAATTACCTCCACTTCTTGGAGACATCCATTTTAGAGCAAAGATCCACTTCCTGACACCCTCCTATAAACCACCCACACAAGCACGAATCTGACAGTGTGACTCGATAAAACTCGGAAGCCAAGGTGCTCACAGTTTCCCATCATGTGCGTCTGTGCTACAGTGTGTGATGGATGCAATTTAACTTCAGTTGTGCTCCTGGTGGTCTTTGGCTGGAAGGCATTGCAATAAGGTGGAATTGTTTGCAACATACAGCATGTGCATGTTCACACATGCTCAAACACACACACTCTGAGCACACTGGCACATGACTAGAAAGAAAAGGATTGCATGAAATTTGAGCCTTAAGACAGGAACTGTGTAACATGGTATTTTGTAGATAAGACTTTTTAAAAAATTCAAGCAAGCACATTTAATTTTCTTAACTTGAATATCAGGGGACAGAATTAGAAGATGTGCACAGGTGCTGTCCTCTATTTTTGAATGGTAATGTATTCCATTGAATAAATAATAATTACCGATTCAGAATGGATATTAATGAGTACATAGATAAGGAAAGGCACAGATATAAACAGAGAAGTGGACTGCTTTTTCCTGCAGTAAATTTGTACCTGTACAAAGCAAAATAAAAAAATTGAGTTAAAAATTCATCAATGAATTTGAAAACAGGTGGATCAAAGAATATGCCCACAGTCTCAATATGACTCACTCTCAAATTATATGTTAACTACAATGGGAAAAATTAGAACATCACAATTGGGAGACTTAAAAAAATAACTCAACCAAACAATTTAACATGCAATTTCCAATTTTGAAAGAAAATTGTATGCACTTGTAAAAAAATATATGTACATTCCAGAGTACAGCATTACTTGTGTTGTAAAAAGATCAAAATGCAAACAAATCTAATTTTGAAAACTAACAGAAAAATATCAAACAAATTCAAATTAGGAGAAAAATTCTACAAAATAAATGGCCTGTCGTGTTTAAGAAAAGCAAACACCTAAGGAGAAGAAACAAATGAAAGGAGAAGAAATGTTCCAGATTAATGAAGCCTGAAAGTACATTCTGAATAGATGCAAATACCTGACTTTGCATTCATTCCTGAGCAAAGGAAAATAGTTCTAAGGTTTTAAAAACGAATGAAATTCTAATATGATTCATCTTTTATAACTACAATAGAATTTATTCACAGGAAAGACAGGATGATTGATTTAGGGGTCATGAAGCACAATCTCCAACTTCCACTCAAGTGGTACATACAAATTATGGACAGAGAAGACTTATAAAAAGAGGAAGATAAAATAAATTCGTAAAATGTTAACTACTGATAAATCTCATCAAAGGGGAATATGGGATTTTTTTGTGCTGTTGGTGCCTGAGGTCACCCAAAGAGGTCAACAATGAAATTAGGATGTAAAGTCAAGAAGTCTGGTGATAGAATGTACGTACGTCTGTTCTTCAGCACTATGCTTTCTAGATAGTAAAAAAATTCATGTATTTTCATTTCAACCCTATCAGGATCATCATCCTTTTAAAATTAAGGAGATGGCATGCAAAACAAAAAAAATTTACTGATGAGCAATTAATGTACCTTTGTGTAAACAAAAACCTTGATGATAAAAACAACAGGGATGATTTGGATGAGAAAGAGAAATGTTGTGTATTTCTGCATCTACGACATGTATCATCTCATGAAACATGGTCTTACTTCATGGGTAGATGATACTTTGTTTATATATAAACTTAATTGGTGACATTTTCAAATACAAGGTTATAAAGGTTCTCTGTCAGGGTTTCCTAAAGCGTACTTAGCTTCACATGCTTTGTATCCATCATCAGTTATACCACAGTTCCCAGAAATGTCAGTCTTAGAGTTAAGTTCGTTGTAACAGTCTTCAGATGCAAATATTGACCCTGAAAAAGAGTGAATTTATTCTAAGTATATTTTTTAACTCTAATATTGTGTTAAAAAGCTGGACTTGCTACATCTATATTAAACAATATATAATATAAACAAAGTATAACTAGCAAGGGATATTTCAGGGACATTACAAAGTGACGTTACATAATTAATTTTTAAGGCATAATATTCCCAAATGTATATGCACTGACATATCAATTGCAGTTCTTCAAATACTTGAAGCAAAAAGTGATAATTTGAAAAGAGAAAAGTCCACAGTTATAACTGAAGACTTCAACGTTTCTCTTTCAGTAATTTGTATAAACAAGAAGGCAGAGGTATAAAAGGCTCGAAAAATAATATCACCTAACTTGACCTAATAGACCTTCATTTTATTAAACACTAAAAGTTACAATCACAGAATACGCATCTTGTTCAAAAATATGTAAAACATTAAGGTAGACCATATTTGAATCATAGGAACATTTTCCAGACCACAACACTTCTCACCTTCACAATAGCAAAGCCATTCGAATTGTGAAGTCTGCACGGAATCAAACACCGCTCTACCAACAGGGGCTGCCAGATAAGGAGGGGATGGAGCTGAACATCTAGACTCCCTAGCAAATTTGGCCAGTCTGGGTAAGAGCTGTAAACCAACAGCAATATATTTGTGTCAGACAGACTCCTTCATAGTTGGGAGATTCTCAAATCGAAATCCAAGAAAGATCTCCAGTTCAGAAACCTCAGCAAGAAGAAAATTGAGTATCTGTAAGACAGTTATTACATTAACTGCTTCATGTAAACTGCTCCCCAATGTCTTCCCACAATTTGCATTTTACCAGAGTTCTAATTTGATGTATTTTGTCATTATTTGAATCCTTTTTGATACCTCTTCTCCTTTTTCTTCCATGTCCCGTCCTCTTCCACTCCTTTATCCATTTTTCTCTCATTTTACTTCTGTAGCCCTTTTTAATCTTTCTTCTAATTCAACTTGGCATACTGTAACAAATGCTTGATCTATTCACATAGTCTATATTATTTCTAACCCACTTTTCTCTTTGGTTAATGGAGTTGCAGAGATTTTTGGTAATAACTCTTATTGCATATGTTGACATCTGGCTTGTTTTTAAATTACCACTGTTACTTGAAGTTACTGTCTTCTCAAATTGCTAGTAGTGGTTGGACTTATCATTTGATTATGCTGATCAAATGTGTAGAAGCTAAGACACACCCAAAGTCAAGTGCTTCTCATGAAGAGATAACTATTCACTGAAGGACTTTAACATTAAAGAGGAAGAGAGATCCACCTCAACACATGCACAAATATAGGACCTCAGAAAACCTTAGAAAACACGCCAAGAAGATGCCTTCAAAAGTTTATAACCCCCCACTGGCTGAATCCACAGATAATAAAGTAGATGAAATCCCAAGGAATTAAAACAAGCTTATTGCTAAGGTGATCAATGAACTAAGAGAGAAAACACAGGATTTGAAAGAGAATTTCAATAGAGAGAGATGGGTTCTGAAAATGAAACAAATGGAAACCCCAGCATGAAAGACACAGTAAATCAGATTAAAAATTCAGTTAAAAGTCTCTTGGACAACATTAAGAGACCCCACATAAGAATTATTGGAATTGAGGCCATAACTGAGATACAGGCTAATGACACTGAGAGCCATTTCAGTGAAATAAATATAAGGGATGATATGGACATCTACATACAGTATGCAAAAAAGAACCTCTGTGTGACATTATAATTAAAATGCCAAATATATGGGATAAGGATGGAATTTTAAAAGCCTCAGGGAAAAATGTAACATTTAGAGGAAAGTAAAAAAATCAGAATAACATCTGATTTCTTTAAAAAAAAAAAAGGCAGGAAATAATGTAAACATCTCCCTATAATAATGAGTGTAAATGGTCTAAATTCTCCAACTAAAAGACATGGACTGGCAGAGTGGATTTTTAAAAGACCCAACTATATGTTGTCTGCAAGAGACTTACCTCTTAGCAAAGACATCCAGAGGCTGAAAGTGAAGGGTGGAAAAAATATTCCATGCAATTGGAGCCTAAAAGAAAACCAAGAGTAGCCATACTTATGTTCAACAAAGCAGACTCCAAGCCAAAATTAATTACAAGAGACAAAGACAATCACTTCATATGGTAAAAGGAACAATCCAACCAGAATATATATATAATAGTAATAAATATTTCTGCCCACCATGGGTGCACCTGATTATATAAAACAAATGCTAGACGCCAATACAACAATACCAACTGATTTCAACATACCTTGATCAACAATAAGTAGGCCAATCAGATATAAAATCAGTAAAGACACTTCAGATCTAAAGTTTATTATAAACGAAATGGGCATAGCAGACATCTCTAGGCTATTTCACTCAACAATAGTTGAATTCATTTTTATCCCTCAGGTGTTCATGGAACATTCTCCAAAAGAGAACACATTTTATGTCATAAGGAAGTCTTAGCAAATAAAAAAAATCAAAATAATTTCTTGCATCTTATCATATCGTAATGAAATTAGAAACAGCAAGAAAACATACTGGGGCTGGGGATGTGGCTCAAGCGGTAGTGCGCTCGCCTGGCATGCGTGCGGCCCACGTTCGATCCTCAGCACCACATACAAAGATGTTGTGTCCGACGAAAACTAAAAAATAAATATTAAAAAAATTCTCTCCCTCCCTCTCTCTCTCAAGAAAAAGAAAACATACTGAAGCTATGTAAACACATGGAGATTGAACAATATACTTTAAATGATGAATGGATTATAGAAGAAATCACAGAATTTAAAAATTTAAAAGTAATGCAAGAAATTTTAGAGGTGAAATGATTGGGTTATGAGAGCCTTAATCTAATCCATTTGAATGGATTGGTTGGTTGGTACTTTTAGACAGATAGGACATGGCTAGAGGCATGTCTTTGGGGTTTATATTTTGTTCCTCGTGAGTCAAACTTAGTCTCTTTCTCTATTTTGTCATATTTTGAGCTCTTTTCCTCTGCCACACCCTTCCACCGGGCACAGACAAATGGAGTTGGTCATCTATGGAGAGATCTCAGAAACTGAGCTCTAAATAAAATTTCCCTTCTCTAAAATTGTTCTTATCAGGAAAAAGCAATGAAAAAGCTGACTAAAACAAGAAATAGAACATATCATAATCTTGGTGTCATTATGAAGAGGGCTCTAAGAGGAAATTTTATAGTTATGAGTGCCTACATTAAAAAAAAAATCAGAAAGACCCCAAACAACCTAATGATGCATCTTAAGGTTCTAGAAAAACAAAAACAAAACAAAATAAGTACAAAGAAGGACGTAATTAAGATAAAAGCTGAAATTAACAAAACAGAGAATAAAAAAAACAAAACAAAGAATCAATGTTACAAAGAGTTGGTTCTTTGAAAAGATAAAAAATATTGGTAAACCATTAGCTAAGCTAACCCAAAAAAATGCAGAAAGATCATTAGGGACAATTTTGAAAACATATATTCCAATAAATTGGAAAATCCAGAAGAAATGGATCCATTTCTAAACACATAAGACATACCAACATTGAACCAAGAGGATATAGAAAACCTGAACAGACCAACAACAAGCCACAAGATTGAAGCAGTAATACAATCCTTCCAACAAAGGAAACACCAACACCAGATGGATTCTCAGCTGAATTCTACCCGACCTTTAAAGACTAATAACCAATGATCCCCAAATCACTCCATGAAATATAAAGGGGTAGAACACTTCTAAATTCATTCCTCAAAGTCAGTATCAACTTGATACCAAAACCAGATAAGGATATGTCAAGTAAAGAAAACCACGGACCAATATCTCTATTGAACATAGATGAAAAAAATCCTTAATAAAATATTAGCAAATTGTATTTAAAAACATATGAAGAAGACCATATGTCATGCTTAAGTTTGTTTCATTCCAGGGATGCAAAGATGAGTCCGTATACATAAATCAATAAATGTAATTCAACATACAAATAGAATTAAGAACAAAAATCACAAGATCATCTCAACAGAAGGAAAAGAAAGGTTTTTTTGACAAAATTCAGCATCCATTCACAGTAAAAACACCGAAGAAACCACGAAATTTATCTCCCCATCATTGAGGCTATTTATGACAAACCCAAAGCCAACATCCTAGAAAATGGTGGAAAATTGAGAGCATTTCCTCTAAAATTGGGAATGAGTCAAGATGTCTACTCTCACCACTCCTATTCAGAATAGTACCTGAAATTTTAGTTTGAGCTATTAGGCAAGATAATTGTTTAAGTTACAGTTTTTAGCATTGCCGTGATCAAAATACCTTACAAGAACAACTTAAGAGGAAAAGTATTGGGGCTCACAGTTTCTGAGGTTTCAGTCCAATCATTACTCTGGGCCCAAGGTGAGGCAGGCATCATGGGGTTGAGTGCCCCTGAGTTCAATCCCCAGTACTCCAGGGGGGAAAAAAAAGAGAGAGAGAGAGAGAGAGAGAGAGAGAGAGAGAGAGAGAGAGACAAAGGTGGGGTCAGGTGGGGCCAGGCCACAAGGAAGGTGAACCCTTTTAGGATATGGCTCCAGTGATGTACCTCCTCCAGGCATGCTTCACCTGCCTTCAGTGACCACCAATTCATTCAAATAAGGACAGGCCAATTAGCTTACAGCTCTCATAGTTCAACCATTTTACCTCTGAATACTCCTTCAGTAACACAGGAGATTTGGGGGGACACCTTATATTAAAACCAGGATATAAAAGGGATACAAAGAAGAATTATCACCGATTGCAGATGATTTAGCCCTATATTTAAAATATACTAAGAGCTCCACTGGAAGAGAGATCCAGAGCTGATAAAAAATATATTCACAAAGCAACAGGATACAAAAATCAATATATAAAAATGAATATTTTTCTTCTACACACAACAAACCCCCTGAAAATGAAATCAGGAAAATAATTTCTTGCACAATAGCCTCAAAAGACACACCCTCATCTACCCCTAACCTCACCACAACAATAAATATAGAAATAAATCTAATCAAGGAGGTTAAAGACCTCTACAATGAAAATTATAGAACACTGAAGACAGAAATTGAGGAAGATGTTAGAAGACAGAAAGATCTCCCAGGTCCTTGGATAGGTGGAATGAATATCACTACAATGATCCTATTACCAAAAGCAATCTACAGATTTAATGCAATTCCCATGAAAATACCAATGACATTCTTCAAAGAACTAGAAAAACATTCCTAAAATCCAATGGAAGAACAAGAGATCCAGAATAGTCAAAGCAATTCCGAGTAAAAACAACAATGCCAGAAGCCCCACAATACCTGGTTCAAATTATACTACAGAGGTGGCAGTAACAAACACTGCAAGGTACTGACATAAAGACAGACATGCGGACCAATGGAACAGAGCAGAACAGAAGGCACAGAGACAAACCCGCACAGACATCTTGACAAAGGTGTCAAAAGCCGTTTAAACAAATGGTGCTGAACAATTGGAAATCCAAATATAGAAGAACGAAACCAGATCCCTTTCTCTCACCCTGCACAAAAGTCAACTCCAAGTGGTTCAGAGGCCTAGGAATTCAATCAGAAACTTTGCAATTGCTAGAGGAAAACATAGGGTCAACACTCCAAATACAAGTGCAGGCAATGACTCCCTCCATAGAACTCCTAAAGTTCAGGAAGCAACACCAAGAATTCAATGGAATGGCATCACATTAAAAAGCTTCTGCACAGTAAAGGTAAGAAGAACATAATTAGATAGCAAACAGAATAGGAGCAAATCTTTGCCAGCTACTCCTCCAACAGGGAATTAATATCCAGAATATGTAAAGAACTCCAAAAACGAGTACCAAAAAGCAAATAACCCTATCAACAAAAGGGCAAATGAGTCATTTCTTAAAAATAAAAAATAAGAAGAAATAAATACACATTAAGAAATGCAAATTGCCAACAAATAGATGAAAAGATGCTCAACATCTCTAGCAATTAGGGAAACGTAAATCAAAACTACATTGAGCTTTCATCTCACTCCAATTAGAATGACAATTAGCAAGAAAGCAAATAATGATAAATGCTGGTGAGGATGTAGGAGATAACATAAACTCATACATTATTGGTGAGACTGCAAATTAGTGCAACCCGTCTGGACAGCTGTATGAAGATTCATCAAATCACTAAGAATAGAACCACCCTATAACCCAGCTATCCCACGTCTTAGTATGTATGCAAAAACTAAACTCAGCATACTAAAGTGATACAGGTACATCAGTGGTTACAGGAGTCCCATTCACCAAAGCCAAAGTTACGGAACCAGCCCCGGTGCCTGTCAACAAATGAGTGTGGTATTCATATGCAATGGCGTTTTACTCAGCAATAAAGAAGAATGAAATTATGGCATTTCTGGTAAATGGAGATGGAGACTAGAACGCTAACTGGAATAAGTCAGGCTCGGAAAGTTGAGGGTCAAATGGTTTCTCTCACAGGCAGAAGCTAGAGCAACGTAGGGGAGGAGGCAGTTCAAATAAAAAGAGAGGGGAGATCGGCGGAGTAGAGGAAGGGGATTGAAGGGGAGGGACGAGGGGCAGAAGAGGGAGGATCGTGGAATGAAGTTGACAAAATTATGCTGTGCACGTATAAGTGTCCCACAGAGAATTCCATCTTTATGCCTATCTATAAAACACCAACTAAAAAAATAAAGAAATACAGGAAGACCAGTAGAGTACAAGAAGGGAACTTGGGGGAAGGAGGGGGTGAGGACAAGAGGAAGTGCTGGGGACTGAAATGGAGCGATTATGTTCCATGCATGTATGATTATGTCACAATGAACCCCCACCACTATACATATAACTGTAATGTCTTGTAAAGACATTTTAAAAAAGAAAAAATAATGAATAGCTTCCTAGCCTACTGACAGAGACCCTTCCAAATACAACACAAGATTTTAGAGAAAGATTAGGATTTATGAGAGGCAAGATTTCTCTCTCTTTTAGCCTTTGTCCATCCTCTGGAGACTGTAGGGAAATTTTAAACGCCTTTTTAATGTTCCAGTTTCTGAGCTGCTTCAGAACTCCACGCGTGCTCTGTGGAAAACATAATCCACGGTCTTGAGAGTCCCCTGCAATTCCTGCTGCTAAAACTCTTCTATCCGCCCCCACCCACGCCCCCATTAGAGGATCTCTGTCTTAGTTTGGCCCAATCTTCAATTTCCAGAATCTTCCAATGTTCCTAGGAAGATAAATGGTTGTCTGTTGTGACCTCTTACTCGGGAGGTTACTCGTCGGTGGAAATCGGATCCATTGGTTGTCACGGGCTCCCTGGGGTGCCAATACCTTTACGACTCCCACCAGTTCAATGGCGCTTGCATTTTCTACCTAGTTATCGTCTCCTGGTTGCATCTCTCCCTATACGCCACATCTTTTCCCTAAGACTAAGTCTTCACACAAGTTTTAGAATTAATATAATTGTGAAATATTTAAATGTAAATGAACCTCCTCAGTCTTTGTTTTTTCCTAATCTAGTTCCCCCATGCTGTTCTAGCCCTCTTTTGGGTGCATCAGATGTTTCTGTGGTGCTTAGTCTCCTGCCTTATGCTAGGTTCAGGTTGTGACATGGGTATTTACTTATGTCAGTCCAACTCTACCCAACAACACTTTGGCCACTGATCATTTCTTTCCTAAAGCCAGTCTTTATTTTTATTTTTTTTCCTATTTGTAAGGTTGAACGTCATTTGATTCAGGCACTTTTCAAGTCATTCTTTTTTCTTTTCTGTCTCGAGCTTTTCTTGAATGGGTTTTAGGGATGGCCCATTCTCTTACCTTTCTCCATCTGGGTCTCCGTAACACGTGAGTTTGTGAGTTCCTCTCTTTGTCAACACGTTTTCACAACTTGTTTTCTCGCTCTGCTGTGAGTCCCTCCCAGAGTCTGACACATGCTGCATAAGCGCTCCACCAGGCCCTCGCACCCCCAGGCCTTTCAGGAACTTTTCTGAGTTTGCCCTTCCTTGTTTTCTGTGAGCCACGATGTGCAGATTTTCTTCAGACTTATAATTTACTCTTCAGTCATGCCACTCCAGTACGATTCATCTGCGAGAGAGAACTCATCATGTTCCGACTTTTATTTCTGAATATTTATTTAATTTTCCACACTGGCAGATAAATTGCATGTGTTTTCTATGTGCGACAAGATCTTTGGACATAGATAGACATTGTGGAGCCATCAGATCTAGCTGAGCTCTTAATTTCAGTTCTAGATATTCGTACTTCATCATATTTTCGTTTTTTTTCAAAAAATTCCCATATGCTACGCTTCCGCAGCAACCACATCTCTCTGGATCATACCCGACTTTTCATTCTTTTTTTTTTGCCTGTATTTTCTTGCACAGGTCTCCCCATTCTCACACCCTCGCGCCCCTTGCTTCTGTTGTCTGTTGTGTCACCCTCTTCTGTAGTTCCTATTTTGACATGCAGTGATTTGGGGACATCAAGGGTGACGACTCTCCAGCTAGGGTCTGCGCTTTGCCTCCAGCCAGTATTCAGGATACAAGTGGATCCAATGAGAAGGGTGTTAGCACAAAGGTGGGCTTCCATCTTCCTGCGGCTGACCACTTCCCAGCCACATTTTGCCAAGGTCAAGTCCTCAGTGGGTCCCCATGGAAAACGCAGGGCATCCACAAGAGCTCGTGTCCCTTGCCACAGGCTAAACTGGAACGTTGCTCTTCCCAGCTCCCTGAGACTGCGGGAAGCTCTGTCCAGGTTGCCAGCTGCCCAGCTTACAAGGGCTGAGGGTTTCCTCACCTACTTCTTCTCTCAGTTTCACAGTAGCAATGCTTCAAGGGCGGACCTCACCTCTCCGGGCACCCGTCTCCTGGCCTTGGTAGCTAGGCAACTCTTCCAAATAAAATTTTAAGTTTCTTTTTCCATTTTGATAGTTGTTCTTACTTCAGGAAGCTTTGTCTAAACTCAAACTTATCAACCATTGCAGAGACAGAGGTCGGCTACCTTTTCTTTTGTTTTGATGATGTCTGTTTAAAAAATAGTCTTACTAAGATACTGCCATAGTTCTCTACAGTTCATCACAATTTTTCAATTTTTGGCAGACTATCATCACTAATCTTCTGAAGATCCACTTTAAAATTTTCTTCCCCTTTTCCCATTTGCTTATATCCATGGTCTCTACTGTGGAAGGCAACCCAAATTCTTAAACTTTGGCACAATTTTCTCACATGTGTATTTAAAAAAAAATATTCACTTAGATGGTATTTCCACAGCATATACTTTTTTCATAAGTTTTTCTCTCAATGTTGCATTACTCAATACATACCTGTTTTGTTAATGAAAATCGTGTGATATTTGCTAGGTTGCAATTAGTGCATTTAATTTTTATTCTTATTCAATCTATTCAATTTTGATTACAAGTAAAGCTTAATATCTACTTCTTTTTCTTTCCTTTTTTGGAGGGCGATGCAGTACTGGGAATCGAACCCAGGGTTACTTTACCATTGAGCTACATCCCCCAGTCTTTATTTTTAAAAATTTTGTGACAGGGGTCTCTCTGAGTTGCTGAGGATTTCATTAAGTTGCCGAGGCTGCCCTCAAACTTGCAATCCTCCTGCCTCAGGCTCCTGAGTCACGAGGACTATAGATGTATACCACCAAAGACAGCTACTTTGTTTTTTAGTGTCCAGAAAAACACATATATGGAAAAGAAAATTAGTATAAATACCTTGGCCAAAGAGATCTTCACATTGTTTATCCCCACTTCTACACACTCCCCCGATGCAGATCCACTTATTTTCGCTACAGGGATGCCCATCTATGATAAAGACATTTTCTTGACATACTTGAGACGAGCCATTGCAGTATTCAGTGAGATCACATTCATTGGCGGCAGACCGGCAGACATGTCCTTTTTTGGAAAACTGAGGGGGTGAAGTAAGTTATATTGAATAAAGCAGAATGTGAATATACAAGCATTATACAGAATAATGATTGTCATTTTCTAAGTCACATAAAAAAACTTTAAAAAAAAACTCTTACTTTACATTCACTACAGCAGGGTCCCGAGGCACATTCTGAACCAGCGGTCAGAGCACAGGTACTGTGTTCGCAGCATACAGGCCTGTTTGCCCCACACTCCTGAAAGGCAAGTCAAATGCTCTCGGGCATCTTCCAATTTTTATTTATTGGGTGGACATTTTAATAATAGATGCTTAATATGTTGGCAAACAGAAAAAATTCACATCTTCCTGATTCCCCCTTGTTCATTACCACCTACTGGGAGTGTTGCCGAAGCTCACTCTTGAGTTTCACTTCAAGTTTTCATCTCATTTACTTCACTTTATCCTGACTTTATCTCTACCCTTCCAACTTCCCTCTAACTCTGGCAGTTTTATCTAAGATGGAGAGAGAGAGACAGAGAGACAGAGAGACAGAGAGACAGAGAGACAGAGAGACAGAGAGACAGAGACAGACCTCTAGAGATACAGAGACAGAGAAATTAATATATGTAGATATAAAATATATTAATAATACAGCATATAATATAATTACTAATATAATTTGATAGAGGTAAATATCACAAAATGTGTACACACATCATCAGGATTTGTGTACACCAAATATTTACAATTGCTTCATTGTCAACTATGCCTCAATAGAGCTAGAATTTAAAAAGTTAGATCACTTTATGGAGAGTCTACAAATCAATGGGCCTATAAAGCAATACGGAGTTTCTCTCATGGAGGAGGAGGAGGGTGGTCCATGGAAGGAAATGACAGTACAGCATTATAAAAATCAATTCACAGTTTCTGAGGCAATTCTGGGATGTAGCTCTCCACGTTAGTCCTGACCTGTTCAGTTCCACAGTCACAGGCTTCTCCTTGCTCCACAACCTTATTCCCACACACCGCCGCCTGCTTGTAAGACGGCTCTAAGCGTGGATGATTCTGAAGACACTCGGACTTTTGCTTTGAAACAAAATGTGCGAAATCTTCCATACTGCAGTTACTGAAGATCTTCACACCACTGGAATGACTGAGAACACACGGAACTTCAAATGTGGGTGCGAGCAGTTTTCATCGACTGCCTACCCTCAGAATAAAGGCACTTAGTTAGCATTCCACGACAGACTCAAGGCTCAAAGACAGCAAAGACTTTGGGAAGTCAACTGTGCAAGAACTTAGAGATCTTCTAGTAGGAATAAGGGATCAGTCAAAAGTGATGGATTCTTCTATTATAATACTTATCTGTTACATCCTTTTATCTTCCACCTTACAAACGGCCCCGGCTCCCTTTCGCTTGTTCCCGTCCCTCTCGTGACGTTTAAGTGTCGAAATAGCCCTGTACTAACAACAGTAACAAACGTGTTCCTTTCGTCTATACTTTGTCATCCATCATTTTGTTCAGCTCCACAGTGTCAAATAAAACCTACATCTGACAGCTCAGATCTTGTTCCTCTAACACAAACTTACCACCTAAATCCCAGAGGCCAATATCTGACTCTTTACTTGGCGTTTCTCCTTGAGTCTAGCTCACAGGCACCTTAAGTTTAAATGACCTAAATTCTAAATGCTTCTTGCGTAAAAAAACATACCGCTTACAAAGGATGGCGTGGTGCTTCGGAACATGTAAACTGTGCCCAATCCAACCGTGTGGATTAAAATCTTGGTTCTGCCACTTACAGGTTGTATGTCCTTGGGAAAGGTCTTTAAATTATATGCATATTTTTTTTCCAGTTTCCTCTTTGCAATATGGAGATCAAGGTTCATTTGTGTCATAGACTTGTGAGACTCCAGTACCTGTAAAGTACTAAGACCGTGTCTGCCCATTGGTTCTACTGTTAATATTTCCAAACTCAAAAAAAAGAAAAAAATCCCCAGGACAAAATCTCGAGGTCCTTCTATTTCTCACCAACCCAATATTGTCAAATCTATCCACTAACTATGTCCGGCCACCTCTGCCCAGCCTCCACCAGCTCAGTACGAGATCATGCAATAAATAGCCCCCTCGCTGAACAAGCACTTCAGGCTTTGTCCTTTGTATTTTTCTCTCAAAATCCGAATCAAGCAGTCTCCCTAAAACACTGATAATGTCACATCTCTTCTCTGTTTAAACCCACCTCAGTCATTCAGAGCACGACCTATGTGACCTAATCACCAACCTCTTCTCCAAGGTCATGACCTATGTGACCTCAACACCAACCCCTTCTCCAAGGTCATGACCTATG